CGGCACATTTTGCGTTATTGTAGGCCGTTTAATTACAAATGACGCTTGATTTTTAACTTGAAAATTTTTTTGTTAAAAAAATTGACTTTAGTAGTGTTTTTCATAGCCTAAGCCAATTATTTTTTAATATTTCTTCATGGTTTATTATTCTATGACTATTCAGCTTTAATAAAAGACCAACTATGAGGAAATTAAGCCAAATGCTGATTCTCAGTGACCAAAAAACTAACTAAAGTCAAAGTCGTCAATCCGCCATCTTTGGACGCCATTTTGGGGCAGTGCGTTCACTTTTTTTTGTGGGAACATTGGCTTTTTTTTAATAAATAGTTACAAGGAACACAACGATATGCAATTTATAGGGATGTGGGGGGGGGGGGGGTGCACGGTAAGGGGGTCTGGCCCACAGACTAAGAGAACAAGCCTAGGTGTGTTGAGGCAAGACCAAGACTTCCTCAATTTCGTATTGGCCTTGCATTTAGGCAACACTATCTGTAGTATAGTAATACGGTCGTTTTTTTTTGTACTGAATCTATTGGAAGGCCTCTTAAATTTTATCTTGGCAATGTTTTAATGTAATTTCAGCCATTATTAATTTCTACATTCAAGATAGGTCTTCGTAGCATACAAGACAACATAGGAGAACTTCTAACAATAAAAAACTAAACTCCTGGAATACAAGTTTTAAGTTTCGAATTTCGTTTCCAGAATTGAAAATCTCACTCCAACTGACCCTGCCACCTAAAGCATTCCATCCTTCAGAAATATCCAATATCATACATAGATTAACTTCCCGCAAAACTCCTGGTCTCACCTAATTACATCCCAGATCCTTAAGATGCTTCCTTGGCTATTCTATTCGTTACTTATAAATACAATGCTGTACTTCAATCCACATATTTTCCTAAGCCGTGGAAATAATTAATTATTAAAATGATACATAAACCCAAAAAGCAACCAGAATGCCCATCCTCTTACCGTCCTATCTCTCTTTTATCCATTACATCTTAAAACACCTGGATCTCATCCTAGATTCTAATCACACAATCCCAGATCACCAATTTAAATTCCGCACTTCTCATTTCACTATCCAGCAATGTCATCGCGTGGTAGATGTAGTCTTTTTCGACAGGTGTTTGATGGAGTCTGGCACACCGGACTGTTGTACAAACTTCGTAAATTCCAACCAGCTACATACTTCCTCATAATCCGTTCCTATCTTACCGATAGATACTTTAAAGTGAATCACAAAAATGCCTATTCATCCCTTTTTTCACAGGCTGCTGTTGTTCCTCAAGGTTATATCCTAGGTCGTTGCCGATGACACATGTGTCTTATCGGTTAATAACGACCCATCAATTGCATCCCAGACTCTCCAATAAGACATCACAAATCTTGAAGAACGGTGTCAAAATAAAGTCCAATAAATTCCACCAAATTACCTTTACCCTTCGGCGGAACATATGCCTTCCTGTCCTACATTATCTTTTAATAATACTCCGCTTACCTCTGTTGAACAAATCCGATGCACCTGTACCTGGACGAACTTCTAACTTGGAATCCTCATACCAGATTAAAAATACAAGAAACTGCTCCGAATACTCCAATATATATATATATATATATATATATATATATATATATATATATATATATATATTTACTTTACTATAGTAAGGTTATTTGGACATATGGAGTTAAGCTTTGTGGCTCCACAAAGCTATCGAATCCCGCTCGTATCCAATCCTTACAATTCAAGATCCTTAGTAAAATCCTCAATGCTCCTTACTTCGCCACAAATAAAATCATCCATAAGGATCTTGATGTTCCATATGTTTCCGAATTGGCCCAATCCAGATACCTATCTTCCCACAATAAACTTCAGAACCACCCTAATCCTCTCGTTTCTAACCTTTCTTCCACTTCAATGCCTGATATCCCTCCGAGACGTCTGAAAAGAAGATGACCTAGTGATCTCCTAATTTAGATACTTTATTAGAGTGCTACAAATTAATACAGTACTACAGATTCTATACAATCACTTGTGCTAAAGCCAGTGGAGATTGAGCGAGAGCGCTTTACCAACCATATGCATTTTTTTAGTTATCTGGAAACGGCCATTTATTTGTATGCATATAATCATAAAAACGTACTGTAATTTGCCGTATGGCTACTGCCGTTTTAGCCTTCTGAGAGCATTATAGGGATGGCTGGTGCTAGAAAGGGATTGTACAAGGGGATTTGGATGATACGTAAGGTTCTGGTGAATATTGGATAATTTTTCTGGGATAAGATCTAGGAAAAATAGGATGTTGAGGTCATGATGTAGGTTTTTATTGGTTACCTAAAATGGAGCATCAAGTATTGTACGGAGGACTTTGGACTGAAAGGATTGGATGCCTTTGATTTTGGAAAATTTTGCTGTCTACCAAAGTTCTAGTCCAAATTGCTTTCAGGGTTGTATTGTAAGTCAGTAAGTTTTTGTCAACTGGAAGTTGAGATTTTCTAGCCAATAATCTGTATAGTTGTGCGTATCATCGGTTCTTGTCTTTTGAGTCTAGTATGTTGGTTCCATGTTGGTTTTGAGTCTAAAAGAAAGCCATTATACCAGACTGTGTTGAAAAAAGAAACTGGATGTAATCATAGTGGATTGGTGGGCAAAATGTGCGTCGGTTCATAAAGGTGATGTGCTTGAATTTGGATTCGTTTAATTTATTTCGATTTTGTTTACGCAGCATTTATTACACCAGTGCTCAATCAGGAAGAGGTGCCTTTGCAGATTTCAGGATGCTATTCCGGAATCTGAGTTGGATGATAAGATGACGGTTAAAAATGTTACCAAGTTCATTTTATAAATCAAATCAAATGACTACATTAATATTACAAAATTTCTAAATGATATGATTTTGTTGAAAGTGGATATTCTATAAATACTATACCTTATATCAGGGGAAGCTCAATCACTCTCCTCCTTCCAGAAGCTCGATGATGCATTCTTTCCTCTCTCTCAAGAAATTGTATTGCTTTCTTTTCTTAATCTTTTCTTAAATACAGTCCAAGCGAAAGTAGAATTAGAAAATTTGTTATCATCAATCAATCAAATATATCTATTACCCGGAGGTAAAGGAGGTATTTGTTCAGTGGAGCCAATGTTCCATAACTTTGAGCTATTATAATTTTTTTCTTAGTTACTAAATCTGCACACCGGAGGTAAGGTACACCCTGTCACATTTTTATGTTTGTTCAAAGAGCCAAGTATCCATAAATTTTGAGAAACTAAAATTTGTTTCTTTTTTACTAAATTATTTAATATAAAATGGACATGGTGACCTTTACTTCCAAGACGCATATATACAAATACTGATGCGGTTAGTGCCTGATTTCCCCTTGTTTCTTAGATTGAATTTTTTCTCTCCGAAAAATCATAACCCCATCGAAATGTGCCATTCTCCCCATAAATTCAAAAGGTCGTCAAAACCTCAAAATTTTGATGGCGCAACTTGCTCCATGAACCCCCATCTGGCCACCTCTGTCTTGTATATCTCCGTAACCAGTGAAGTTAAAAAAAAAAAACTTATAGAATAATTTAATAATGATTTTGAATTACCTTAATTTCGTATGGAATAATCTTTTCGAGGTATTTACAAAAAACAAAAAATATTTTTAAAGAAATCAGGTTCCATCCAAGGGAGGAAGCTCAATAGAGTTCATCAGTTATTAAGGTGAAATTAATGAACAGTTTCTGAAACATTTAAACTTTTTTTTTTGTTGAAATTTTGATTTCGGTTGATGTTCGGTTGAATTCTTAATTTTAGTTTACTATTAGTGACTCTCTCGATCTTAAAAACGTTGGAAGTGAAAGTAGAATCATCACAATTCTAATTTATTTAAAATTAATATTGCTATTGTCTGAACCATATATTCAATGGTTTGAATGTTTCTATACACTGAAGCCACCCAAAAACATGGTTCCTCCAAGAAATTAATAACCATGTAATAATGTGCTCCCCTCAAAGATTTTGATGGGTAGATCATCTATCCCCGTGGTACAAGGTGTGGCTATCCTTGCGGGAATCATTGGAAGCAAACTTTACCCACCTGCTTGGCCGTATCTTTAGGATCAGTTGCCTAAATGGAAGACCAAGAGGAGACATATCCAGTCTTGGTTTTGGTATGATGGATTCAGTCTTGGTATTGGTCTGGTTCTTGCTACAAGAATTTCGCAAACCTAACAATTACCTATTCTTCTATTACTATTTATTAAACGCGTTAATTTATATCTTAGGACAACGCAATAGAGTAGATATATTTGAAGCTTATATCGACGTTAGACATAGTAAAGTTCAATCAAATAATAAAATACTTTAAAATTGTCCAGTAAACTATTTTACCTTGATTTTTATCCACAAAAAACGTTTTCGTTGTTTTTATCTTTTTATCTTGGCAAATGATCCATATTTTGTTATTATAATAACAAATAATTATAATAAATATTTGAAGAGCTAAGAGAATTTGCTAATGGAGAGCTCCAATACCGGATTTAACTAGAAAAATCTATTTAGATTTAATGCATGGTACAAATGTTAAAGCCACGTACTGAACCTCATACTACATATACAACTACCAAATTTTTTGCTAGACGGAAGGAATCATGGTTCTGATATCGACTTCTTCTATCAATATCAATATTGAAACCAAGTCAATAACGCTCGTCTCACTTTGACTTAACCTGACCTGCAAGACTCTTGTGTCTCGCAGGTCAGGCTTGTTGTTGTTGTTGTTTTAGCATCATCAACCATCCCTTCTTTTATTTATTAATTTGTTGAAAACTTTTATTTTTATTGTTAGGTGAAAAGAAAAAAATTACGAGTAGGAAAACGTAAAATTATTTGTTTTCAATAAAAAAAAATGGTAACCCTAAAAGGGATTAACCTGATGATTAGAACAAGGACAGGGATAACCCCCCCTATCGGAAGGAACACTGACCAAGCAGGAAGTCCTGAGGAAGATGACAATTAGCCGGAGCGGAGAGGGCGGCTAAATAGCCAGGGGTACACTTGTTGCTGAGCCCGCCATCGGCGAGTGGTGGGGAGCCAATGGGGTTAGAGGGGGCGTGGCCTATCTCAACCTCTCCTCGGCTCGGGGCCAGGCCGGCCACACCATGAGCGAGGGGCACATCAAGCGGCCGATGAACGCCTTTATGGTCTGGTCCAGGGGCCAGAGGCGGAAGATGGCACAGGAGAACCCGAAGATGCACAACTCGGAGATATCCAAGAGGTTAGGAGCTGAGTGGAAGCTTCTCACCGAGGCGGAGAAGAGGCCATTCATCGATGAGGCCAAAAGGCTCAGGTACGTTAACTTTATTTTAATTAATAATACGAAGCAGGACATAATACCATTTAGTCCAGTGTCCACACAGTTACTATTTAGTTTGAAATTTAAATCTCTCTCCTGACCATTGCTTACTGCATTTTCATATCCGGAAGGCAGAATGTTCTTACCTTAAAAGTAGGGGACAGGATGCGTGCAAAACAGAAAAGGGAAGGTAACCATGTGGTTTGACATCAGTCGAGATCTCGTGAATAGTCTTATATTCCTCTTTTTTCCGTAGCATTTTCCCTCTTCCTTTTCTTCCCGATACATCACAACAAATACTAACAGTTAATTGAAGATTAAATTACAATTATTGCATTGAGAAATACTTGTCAAAATTGAATTTAAATTAAAAAGTGAATACCATCGGTTTATTGTAAAAAGTGGCATTTTATAACTTCGAATAATTAAGAATTTTGTATAATGTTCCTTTTTTGAAATCAGAAAATTGTGAGTTTTTTGTACCGCTAATTGAGTTATAGCAGGATTTGTGTCATTCTGTTGGACTTATTGTGTTATTGTGTATCTATAAATAAAGACGAAATTCACCAAAACATAATTGAAAGTTAATCTACATTAAAAATTTACTTGGTGACTTTTTACAATAAAACGACAATTATGTGTAAAATTGCGAGATAAGTATTATAGTTGTGTTATTTTTTATAAAATTAGAGAAAAAATTCTCTAGCCTCCTGTTAATTACATCTAAATGAACCTATACTCATAAATACACATATATACATCTGTATATTATTATCCTGCTAATCCATATTAGATGAGTCAACCGAAAGGTTGGTTTAAATGAGCTTTTATTTCAATCTTCAGAAATTTTACTATTATTCATTTACTATCAAACCCTTAACAAATTAATTTGTGTTAATTGCTGCACCATATTCCATCCAGACTTATAAATCTTGAAACTATAGAGTAAATTTGCAGTGTGGAAGATTTCAAAATTGGGTGAAATATTCACCGGTTAATAAGAAATTAACTTTAACTAGGATTATTAAATCAAATTGCAAAAAATAAAATTCCGTTTGTTTCAGAAGTACAAGGATGCAAAATAATACGATACTCAATTTAAGATTTTATCAAATCATCCAATATTTAATTGAGTTCCTTTTATTTTAACAGATATTGTTAGCAGTGAAAGTTATTTAATTATATTGATCCTTATTAGTTATTGATTGATATTCAAATTTTTGATAAGAAGAAAATTGGTATCAATCACCAATGGCATGTAAACATCACCAATTCCAAAAGTGTCGAGGAGTATAAACACGAGAGGGATGAATATGAATGACAGATAACAAGATAAAGGACCTATCACACACAATAAACTCCATTTAAATATCAATAATTCCAGATGCTATAATTGATTGATACATTATCGTCATTTGTTACCTGTTGTCACTTGAACAAATATTTTAAGTGAGTCAATAGATTAAATCATTTCTTTCCGTATGGGTATATACAAAGTATGAGTCAATGACTTGTTTACTTTAAGCAGCCGGATTAATGTACAATGATTGTTTGTGCATATATATATATATATATATATATATATATATATATATATATATATATATATATATATATATATATATATATATATGTAAAGAAGCTTCAGGTTCTAACGAATGCCCACCTTTAAGTTAATTATTTAATTCATGTATTTAACACATGATGTTATATAAAAATAACCATATGGTACGGTTTGCAATTGTTTCAAGTTATTAAGTGTTTATTGTTGTGTTTCATTGTACTTAAAACTATAAAAACTGATTTTGTTTTTTAGGTAGGTATAGTTTTAGTATTTAATGTATTATTTAATCTAACATCGTTATTATCTACAGTTAACACTAAACAAGATTTTATATATATATATAAATATATAGTTATACAAAACATTATACTATCAAAAATTTTTTCAAATACGGCCTATAAAAATACTATAAAATTCTCCTAATAGTATGCAAAAAGTTTTGAAAATAACTAATAATTATAATAATAAAAACTATTTCTACTATTTAATCTTAAGTCATTAATTTATTTAAAATGTTTGCAACTTAATGTGATATATATATATATATATATATATATATATATATATATATATAGCATATATAAGTATATATATAGCATATATAAGTATATATATAGCATGTATGATTTAAATGGATAGATTGTACTTCAGCTATATATTTTATTTTTATGTCATAAGTAAGCTTTTTTATTTGATAAGTATTTTATTTTTAATACTAGATAATATACATATACTTACGATTAGGATTTCCATACAGGAACAGTGATGGAAAGGCTAGAAAAACATTTATCCAAAAATGTATATATCTTACAGTTTCACAAAAAGTAACGTGGTGCATTAAAATTATAATGCAAGAAATAAGAATTTAAATGATAAAATAAACTTTTAATTCTAATCATTATTATAAAATAAAAAACGTACCTATCTACATAACGTGAAAAAACAACAACAAATATTCACAGAAATCCATAATGTTCTTCCCACAAACGTATATTCCTCTTCCTAAACTGTCTCTTTTAACAATTGGGGCTCAAAAAATCTTCAAGTTTTTTAAACTATCTGTGAGTTTAGTTTGCGATACCTCTGCCTCGCTCTCAAATTTTCATTCTCTCTCTTTAATTGCTATTTATAAACAAACAAAGTCAGAAGCTATTACGATAGGAGTATCAAGTCATGCCTTCTTTTTAATTGTTTTCATTCTTTTTCAATTAAAATTTTTTTTTAATGATGTAGAGATAGTTGACAGATAATATGAGAAGGAATTAATCGGGTGAGGTTGAGGAGGGAGAGAGGAAGCAGTGAAATAAATACTAAATTTTAAAAAATAGTATTTTTAATTGTGTCGCCGACGTTTCGACCAACCTTGCAGGTCTTCATCACATCAGAGGGTTGCATCAGGCACTGCAGGAAGCAGTTGATCGGCTGGATCGAAACAATTAAAAATACTAAATTTTAGAAAATATTATTTGTAATTGTTTCGCTCACGTTTCGACGCATATTACAGGTCTTCATCAGGGTATTGTATCAGGCACTGCAGAAAGCAGTTGATAGGCCGGTCGGCGAAACAATTAAAAATACTATGTATTAAAATTTAGTATATATTTCCTTAGTATATATAACTCCTTCTCATAAAAAGTTTTTTGCTAGAAACACGGGTACTTTCAGCTGATAGGATAAAAAAATCACATAATTTTTTTATACAATTTGATGTGAATCCCAAGTTTTTGTCTACTAAACCTCAACTTAATTAATATGGGCTTAAAGCTTATTAAACGAGAAAGTTTTTCTCAGAGTGGGCTATCTGTAGCATAGTTGGATGATGATAAAAAAAAAATCGTGAATAATTTGTGATTTTTGAAAAACACAACTTCGCTTAATTAAGCCAATCTAAAGCCCTCTTTAAATGGTTTTAACAATGACAAACTATATTTTCACTTAAAGTAAATTTTATCAAGTTTACAGCGAAGCTATTTTTAATTACTTTAATTCAATATTTATTTAGTTATCGCTTCCTATTTAAAAAAAAACATGACACTTTAAAAGACACAAAACTTGGATTTCCTTTTTTTTTTTTTGCTGAATATTGGCCCATTATTTATATGAACTTTTCTCTAGCTCTTGAGGTCTGGTATGTTTCCTATAAAATTTTTCTTCTACTTACGGGACACCCTATACATACAAGTACGTGGTAAAATATATATTTAATTTATAAATTCTGTTTATTTAAGAATAAATTGCGGTCATTAGACTAACTTGGAGTGAAATAATATATTTTTCTACAGTCTTGCAAAATACTTTATTTTATCTTATTTATATATTTCCAAACACACAATTATTGCTTATTTCTGGTCTTATTTTCTATTAATATCTGACTTAAATTTAACCTGACAATTTTATATAAAAAATTGGACTGCCTTAAAATACATTGATGAAAATTTCGGACGATCAATCATAAATTCATGCTTTAATAGAGAACAATAATATTTAAATATACTAAAAATGTTTTAATTACATATTAATATTAATATAAACTTACTTCATTATAAAATATTTATATTTATTCTAAATTAACACAAAACGTTGAGCCAAAGTCGAGAGATCTAAACTCTCAGCCTTGTTCAATTAACTAAATAAAAAAAATTAAAAATCTGAGGTTTAGTTTTAACTTAAATTGATTAATGAACTTTGAATTTTTTAAATGATATATTAATAAATAGTTTTGAATAGATATAAGCGGAATTATTTCCTAGTATTTTATCGTAAATCTTATACAGATCTTAACTGAATCACATTAATTCTTAATTCTGAATGTTTCGTGTACTATTCTGATATTAACGGTTGTGCCTTTTGGTATTATAAAAGTAAATAATAATTATTGATCGAATTATTGTACATACTCAATGATGCTTTTGTATTAGGTCTTAATACATCACAAACAAGTTGATTGTTTGTCTTTTTAATTATTGTAAACCAATTTATTAAAGTTTATCGTACCATTCTATAATCAATTATATTTCAATATTTATAAATATCTGATACGACATGATTAGTAATATCAATATTATTTTTCGTAATTTATTCGATAAGATCTTTAATTCGTCAGACATAATATTTGTCATTGGATCTTAGCCTCTATATCCTTGATATGAGTCACGCTTATGTCACCATTAATATACGTGATCCAGAATTTTCTACTAAATATATAAATAAATAATTTCTTTATTTTAAAAACAGAAATATGTTTTATATTTATTATTATTATAAAATATTTATTTTATATTTGTTTGTACGTATAGTGTGAATGTGATCTTACTTCACTATGACCAATGTTCAATTTATAGATGTAATATTCAATAAATAAATAATTTAAAAATAAACAGAAATGATTGTAAATATGTACGTAATATTTATCATTTTAAGTATTTAATAAAAGTAATCAGCACTTTTTTTTCTTCAATAATCTATTCTTCTTAAGAATCATTAAATATCTAAAATAATATTTTCATAACGTACCTTTATAATTTTGCTAAGTCAATTATTATAATTATTCATTGGGGACAACTGCTTCATTCTACGTGTATATATATATATATATATATATATATATATATATATATATATATATATATA